TTAAATGTAGCTCTGTCAGGGAACAGCATAGTCAGCAGTGGTATAAAATTATAGTTCTGGGTGGAAGAAATAATAGAAATTCAGAGCAAAAAGAAAAGCTTGTGAAAACATCAGAATGGCCGAGGATTAAGGAATAAGTAAAAAGGCCATCTTGACATATATCCTGTGCAGGACACAAAAGTAAAAAGCAACAAAATGTAGTTGAGGATCTAGCAGTTAAGGCTGGTTAAGCTTTTCCTTTCAATAGGAAGGAGTCTATACTTAAGAATCTATCCTTTTTTTTTTCCTATTTGGGTAGCAGTAACTGTGTCTGAAATATGGTTGCTAGAGAATTACCTGAGAGTTACTTGTTGATAACGCAAAGCAGTATCTGCAAGGGCTTGCTGCTTCAACCAATACATTAAACCTATATTGTTAATAAAGGAAGTTTCAAGTCACCAAAAACCTACTCATCTTGTGATGCTTTTTCTTAAAGGGCGTATTTAAATAAACCTTACAGTTGGTTCTGTGAGGCAATATTATCTTGTCTCATTAATTCTTGGAACACAGTATTTAAAAAAAATGTTGGCTTGTATGTTGGAAAATCATTACATGTTTGTTGTAGGTCCTTTTCAGATGTCACTGCTTTCAATTAGGACCAGTAAACTTCAGTAAGTAGAAAGTACACTGTTCAGAAGCTGTTGCAAACAAGGAATTTCAAACTTTTTCTAGCAGGGTGAGAAACAGCAGTTTCTTCTCCACATTCTTTGGGGAGGGCGACACTAAAAAACTTTGAGTTGAAGTTCAAAAGTGGGCTGTCTTTTCATGTGTTCCTGCAGTATGCTTTGTTTTTTGTTTTTTAATAAGATTTCTATGGCTGTCAAAAAGACCATAAATATGTTCAGACTTAGTCTTATCTAAGTCTTGGCTAGTCAGTTTTAAAGTATTCTGATCCAGCCTGTCAAAAAAGTGTAGCAGCATCCTTTAATGTTTAACATTGGTTTTTTTTCTTTTTTCTTTCATTACAAAGGTGGTTGCAGCTTTGAAAAAAAGACTTTTTCTTGGTTGAAGTAAGACCAATAGCCAGTGCTCCAAGTACTACAAAAGAAAGAAAACAACCTTTACTGCCATTATGTGAGTAACACTAAGTGGGTTAGTTTGTTTCCTTTTAAATGATCTTTGTCCTGGTTTTTAGTTTAACTGCACCTGCATCTTGTTGCATATGTATTCCTTCCTGTACCGCTGCTCCTTTACCACTACTTGTGATAGGTGATTGTTGTGCTCTTAGGCCCAAGCTGCAACTCACAACTGAGATTACCTATCTGGGTGAAATACCAATATAGCCTGTTTTTAGAGGATAGTATACTTAAACCTGAATACAATTAAAACAAACAAAAAACAACAACAAAAAACCCCAACCAAGTGAAAAACTCATGAGCATTTCAGGGCTTAGGATAAGAAAACAGACTATAGCTTCTGAATAACTAATCAGCGTTGATGTGTGAAACCTGGTAGACGTGAGGCTGGTGGTTTTATGTATTTATGGATCCACATTATCCAGCTAATATTTGCTGTTCTGTGTCCTTACAGATGTGATCCCTCTCTAGTTTTGGGGGAAATGGTATGTATTTTTGTTCAATCATCTCTCCTTTTTCTCAAAACTGTCAGTAATCCATGTTGTGTCAACCAGTGATCAAAAAAGCATGCCTTTGAGCCTATAGTTACTTTCTTATTCTTCCAAGGCAGAACAGTGTTTTCAAACAACCCAATACATTGCAATTTTACCTTTTAATCAGGTCACCCGTATAGAATTTTTTAAATAGTTATAAAACTGCTGTTAACTAATTTCCAGGGCTTAGAAAGTTTATGCAAGATGAGAGAAAATAACGTAAGATAAAGTTGTAGTGTCCTTTTTGCATACTGTTTTCCTTTAGACAGGACTTTCATGAACATTCAGTGACATTGCAGCAATTGGCAGAGTTGAGGAAAAAAAATGACCTTTTCATGAACTTCTATGAAGAAGGCAAATAAGCAAAGTGTGAGCTTCAATGGTAAGTTTAGCTTTTTATTATACTAATGTCCTTCTTTACCTGTTCTTGAACACCAATATTTATGAAGTTCTTTAAGTTTCCTGTTTGTTCTTCAGAATGTTTGAAATTTGTTTTTTTAATTGCTTTTGAAATATTTTGAGAAACACCTTTAAACCTAAAAAACATGAATAATTAACACACTGTCTGCCTTTTTGATAACTTAGTATTCTGTGCCAGTGTGTTAATTTACTCAGGATTCTAGAGAACTTAATTTTCATAGTTCTCCAGTTTTCAGCATTGACTTGAACTGCATAGCTGTCTGCTAAAAACTACATCTCAACTTATCATCAATCTTCTTTTTATAGTGAAACATGTAATGTGGCAGTGTATCCAACTTGTGTGTGGACTTTAGGGGTAAGAATTTTTAATAAAAGTATTTCTTTCAAACACGAAATTGTGTAAGATCGATGAGACTTGAGAAAAGCTTTCTATCTTACTGATTTTTAGATATGTAATGTCATTAACTTCTAAAATACTGGATATTTTGACTTTATTTAGCAAGTTTAGTTTTTAATCAGTAAAACTGCTCAAGTTTCTGTCCCTCTATTTCAGCTTTTGTCCATGAAAACTCTTAGAGAAGATGGCTGATGTAAGCCTGAAGGAAGCAGCCCTAATAGTTGGTGTGGTGGCAGCCTGCTACTGGAACAGTCTCTTTTGTGGCTTTGTTTTTGATGATGTTTCAGCGATTTTGGACAATAAAGATTTGCATCCTTCTACTCCGTTAAAAAATCTATTTCAGAATGACTTCTGGGGCACTCCAATGTCTGAGGTAAACTGTTTGTGAAACACTTTGAGGAATTTAGAAAATGGAAAAAAACCTTGCAGAGAGTTTTTGTACTTTTTCTCCCCTAATATGGTTTTAACAGAATAGTTTGTTTCTGATGGAATTTGATGGTGTTAGTGTTTGGTACTATAAGATCAGGAACAGATGTCCCTTATGTTCTTTCTCTTTGTTTAATAAAAGAACTTGTAAGAAAGTGAAGTCGTATATCATGCTTTAAGATGATATGTGTTATCCATTTCCAGTATCGAAAAAAACCTGACCATTTTCCTTTCTCCTCCTGCAAAAGCTAGACATTGACATACATGGCTATTTATTTCTAATTGCAATCTGGAAGGAAAGATGACACTCTAAAGCAACAAAGCTAGGACTTAGTGAATGGGTATTGAACACATTAAGTTCATTTGAGTGGGTATGTGTATGTGAATTCAGAGGTTTTGGTTTGTAGCCTATGTAGAGTGGCTATGTTTTTATCTGAAAAGCTGCACTGGCCTTAAAGTTGTTGATAAACATCGTTAAATGGCAGTGGATAAGAGATTTACATATAGTTTAGAAAGTTACACATGGTGCCATTGCTGAGCAAATGAATACTAATTCTCTGACAGTCATAGGTGTTTTGCCTACCAAGGCATTCCGCCTTGTAATCTTCTCTTTTCTTATGTCCATAACATACAGGGTTAGTTCATTGTGAGATACTAATTGCTAGCTCTACAAGTACATATTGATACATTATTTTCATGTAACCCTATTATGAAAGCTTCCAGGCTCTTTTTCAGATGACATATAGTCCTGTAGTCATTGAGAATAAGAGAGTTCCTAAACTCCTCCCAGTAAATTTTCAAGTAGTATTTTTCAACGTGTTTTTACTCTCAGAAAACCCTAACCATGTGGAGTGGGAGAAAGCCATCTCATTCAGTGTTGATTTTACACTTAAAACCAACTGAAAGTCAGGTTAATTTTAACTAAATGAAGTCATATTCATTTGATTGTTCATGGCTTTTAAAATACTTTTTCCTATCTTGTGTTTTTGTCTGTAGTTATGTGCAATTTGGTTCCCTGTGTCCCCTCTCCGCTCCCCCCAGTTTTTTCTTAGGTGTTCTTCATTTGTTTTATGGATGTCTCCCAACAGGCTGTGGGTTGGCAAATTCATTTTTGGTACAGGAAGATGGTATTAAGTATAGTTTTTAAAAGGGTTTATGGGTGGAATAACTGACAACAGAGACATATTGACTGCTAGACATACTGAAAATAGGTGGATAATGCATTTAGCTGAATGTATCAAATTTTTATTTTATAAAATACTGATCTAAACCATGAAATAGCAGAGTAATTGAAATACTTGAGTAATACATTGAAACTACATGGAAGTAGGAAAAATAATCAGAATTAACTTCTCTTTTTAACAACTTACTTTAATTTTAAATTGAGTTTTCATGTAATTCACTGGAATTATTTGTATTTTTCTTTTTTAGTATTACTGATTTCCAGGTCTTTATTTTGAAGGTAAATGCCTGAGAATAGAGGGGGGAATCATGTATGCATAGATTTTTTTGAAAGATACTTTGGAATATAAGTCCTTTTGTAAGTTGATGGTGACTGATTGATTGATTTCTTTCCTTTTAGGAGAGGAGTCATAAATCTTATCGTCCCCTCACAGTTCTTACGTTTCGCTTAAACTACTTGTTCAGCGAGTTAAATGCAGTTTCTTACCACTTCCTAAATCTGGTCTTTCATGTGGTGGTTTGTGTAGTCTTCCTCAAGGTCTGTAAGCTTTTTCTGGACAACAGGAGCAGCGTGGTTGCATCCTTGCTCTTTGCAGTGCACCCAATACATACTGAAGCGGTAGGTATAGCTGTGATGTCCTTAATCTGTTCAAGCTGTATTAATTAACCCAAAATTTAATGGATTTTGTATCTGTTGATATATTGTACCTCCAAAAAGTGTGTGATTTTATTTGTACTTACTCTGCCCTTTGCAACGAGTGGTGGAGGTGACAAACTTCAGTGCTCGGGATTGTTTTGTATTCCATGCAGCTACTGAAAAATAAGTAAAGAAACATTAATTTTGTTATTTAATAACTTGAGTGTCTGCTATGAACTTTGGCTTTTATGATGATGGCTACTTCAGCTTACATAGATACTTGTGTTCTGTGATGATTCATCCAGTATATTTTGCAAATACTATGAATACTTCTTAATTAATTTCCAGAATTGCTAAGCATTCCCCTCTAACTAATCACCAAGTCTGTTCTGTCCACTTTATTTTATGTCAATACCTCTATCTCAGCAGGGCTTATTCTAGGATTATTGTTGCTATGCTACATCCATCTTCAGGCCATTCTGTTTGAACCTTCCATTTCTGAACGTATCCAATATAAGAAAAAGGAAATACATTTCTCATCTCTCATATTTACCTCTCCTTTGATTCTGAAGGAGTTTTTCACGGCCAAGAAAAGCATTATTTATACAAGCTGTCCAATTATATACTTTTTAATACTCAACCAGGCTTGCAGTGTTGTGGAGTAAATGGCATCTTGTGATAGCCATTCATTAGATTTGTTTCCATTGCAAACACTGATAAAGCAGATCTGTGGAATTCTCTGCTGTTAATTTCTGCATGACTTAGATTGACTTTCCTAGATTTCAGTTCACATGGGTTGCAAAGCCCATCCCCAATCTCTTTTTTTCTTACAGTATTAGCTGATTTTCAGAAAACAGAAAATGTTTAAACCTTTTGCTTCTTTAGAAGTGTTGTCCAATTCTTATTTTTTGATTTTAATATATTTTTTGGGGAGGAGAGGGGATGTCTTTTTATATTAAGAAAATGAAAAAGGTTTGCTCTTAGGTTGTATTTTTTTGGTCTTGATTTGTTTGAGTAAAGAGTTCGCATCTCTCTCTCTCTTGTTCTCTAAAGATGCAAATCCTTGTCAGTGGCAATTCAGTGACCTGCATCTGTGTATTTTGAGCAAATCTTTACAGGGAATAAGTTAATGGAGTTTATAATTGGCTGCTATTTGAACTACTAATTTGTCCTTGCTAGAGGAAGTTAGTGGCATGTTTAAAATTGCAAAAGTTAAACACCTAAAACTTTTTGCTTGCTTTTGTGCTTGAAAGCACACACCCCCATAAAATCTTGGGTGAAAGATGGGTTAAAAAGATAATTTGTTAATTTAATTTGGGTTTCTGTTTCTTTGAAAAAAAAAAAGCTTTAAATTTCAAAGTTTATCTTTGCCTCTTTGTAATAAATTTGATAGTATCTTTACAGGAGCATTATTAGCAAGTTGCTAGTGATTAGTGATTCACGGCTTAGATCATCCAATGTAACTTCATCACTTTTGTTCCAAATATGATGATTCTTTATCATGTTGAACTGTCCATATGAGGTAACAGTAACACAGTGGCTTTTAGTACTATGCAACAGAGTTAGCAAGAAGTATCGTACAAATCGTACAAACATTGTATAATGAAAGCTTATTGTGTAAGGCAATGTATTACAAAGTTAGGAAATGCAGTTATGAAGCAGTTTGGTAATAAGTGCGTAATCCCTGATATTGGCCACATGAGGGCACTTTAAGACTATGTGATCGGTAGAGCTTGATGCTCTACTTAAAACGCTTAAAGACTCTGAGATTTAATTGCAGCTGTAATTGAATTCCCCTGCTGTTGTACTTGGGTACTCAGTGAAGAATTAGTTAAAGGGTTTTCTTCCTCCTCCCCCTACCTTTTTCAATTTAAGCTTTCTGCTTTTGAGAAACAGTGTATTTTATCCTTTCAAGTGTTTGCATTGAGAATTCTGCCTCACATGTAACCAAGAAAGAATTCTTAGAGTTGACAGTTGAGACTTGTGCATGTGTATAAAAGGCAAAACAACTGGAAATTTCTGTACATGGGAAAGAAGAGGTAATGAGCTGTATTTTAGAACTGGGGTGCTGGCTAACTTGGACTTTAGTGAAAACTCCAAAACAGGTCCCATTCCTGGTTTTTATGTCATTTGATGGTACCTTTTATATCTTGTAAAATTGAAATGTATCTGATTTTAAGTCTTTCAGATTAGTCTCCTTGTTACTCCTCTGTACAAGAGTTTGAAACAGCAGATGCAATACATAAACATTTCAAACCTTTACCTATGTTACGATAAATGGATTTTTCCTGGAAAAGTTAGCAGAGCAGGATAAATAGAAAATAATTTTCTGCTTGACTTCACAGAGAAGCTGGGCTCTTGCGGTGATAATATATCATTTTCTGAGTAAGACTTTTTGAGGAAATGGGTTGAACAGCAGCATCATATTTTCATTTGTCCTTGTCTTTAGAATTCCAGTTCAGTCTTTCTAGCTACTTTGCTACTGTTCTGGCCAGAGGCATGTTGTCCACTTTTCCAGCTACGGAATGTCAGCTAACCTTGTGAATGCTGAAATTTCCTCTCATAAGTCACCTTTGTATCCAGAAATAGAATCTCTCTTTTGTTGGCAGACGACTGTGGAGGCACACTAGCACACTTGCTTTACTAATGATCTCTTTCAGCTGATTTACAAAGTTCTCTTTAAATTCTGTCTTAATGCTGTACAATTTTGAGATCCAGACTAGGAATCCTTGAAATGTTTTAAGATATTTTGGAAACAAACACTTGGGTACTGTCCCAAATGTTAACGCAAACTCTGATGTCCTATCAGTTGTGGAACATGCTTTGTCTGTACATGATTCAGTGAGTCCTTTGGTAAATGTATGCTACTCCCAACGGAAGCATGAGAGCATGATTTCAGGTTTAGATTTGAATACTTTTCTTTACACCATGACCTTGGATATTGAGTTGCTTTCTCTTTTTATGCTGTGCTGGATCAATCATGCTTGACCAAGAATGTACCTAGCAATAAAAACTTCTAGCTGGGTCCGGATGGCTGAAAGTCAATTTTCAGCATCACCATAATTGAATGGTGAGCTATGAGGTTTCCTTAGTTAAATATGACCATCTGTCTTGGGATAGCATGCCATTTTTCAGCCAGCTTACTTGCAAAAATTTGGATGCAATCAGAGGCATTCCAGAAGAGGATAAATGAGGAAGAAAGGCAATCCTAAATGGTACTGTGATCAGCACAGTGGCTACTGCAGTAATCATGAACATAATGACCTGTCTTCCATCTCTGGTTGTTGGTTGCACCTTAGCATTTTTTGAAAACAGCTCCTGAAATGGAAATTAATCTCTGTTTCATTGGGGATTCTGAAACAACCTTCTGCCCTGGATTTTTCATTAAATCCATTCCTCTCTGTCTCATTACCAAAGGGTAATTTTAATATTGTCAACCAAATTATCATTCAGAAAATTGCCAGACCTGTAGTAAAGCCTGAGTCATTCTTTAACTCCATTGCATAGAGCATGCCACGAATTTATTTGTAACTCTTGACTGCTCACCTAAGTGCTGCCATAGCACCAGTCAAGGGAGTGCTTCTTCCAGATTCAGATCTGTTTAATCAGTCAGAAAAGGTATTAACAAAAATAACAATCATAGTTTCTATATGCCACTGTCTGCAGAATGTTTATGTACAACAGTCCTTGTCAGGCTTCACTTAAAGGTCCTATTGATGAAAGCTAGTTTCTTCCAAGCATTATGAAGAAAGCAGTTGTTATCGTGCCCAAATTCTGCCTCAGATGTTATTTGTGGCTGGTGTTACTAAAGATAAAAGAAAGTACAGCATTTCTCAGTTGTCTTGTTAATGGTGATAGTTTGGGGCACATCAGCCACAGGTGTCCACCAGCTGCCTGTATCATCCTGTTCTTGAATTCAGTACTAATTGGACTGAAAGCAGCCTTACTCTTCTAACCTTTTTTGCTTGGTTTACGGATCTTGTTTACGCATATCCTGATAGTATATGAGTCATGCACTACTCTAGTACTAGAATAATCTTGTTTTTTTCTTCTTTTTCTTTTCAGGTAACTGGAGTTGTTGGCAGAGCAGAGCTTTTATCATCTATTTTTTTTCTAGCTGCTTTTTTGTCATATACAAAATCTAAAGGGCCAGATAATACCATAGGTAAATGATTGACAAATATATATATAACTTAATTTCTGTATCACTGTTAATAGAGCTCTTAAAATGGTGACATGGGTGTGCTGGTTATTCAGCAAGTGTGTCCAAAAAACCCTTCAGCCCCAAGAGAACCATGCAATAGTACTTTCCATTATAAATTACCTGGTTGGTTTTTTTTTTCTTCCTTCGAAAGTTAAGCACTTTTTCAGTTGTTTTGTAACACCTAGAGTAGGGGACTCTTGCGCTGACTTCGATTAATGCAAATAAGTGGAATTATGCTGAGGTGCCTCAGATGGTCACAAGTAAGCTGCAAAGTTTGAGTGGAAATGTGGGAGGCTTGCCTCTTTTCCAAAGTCAAATTGACCTTGTGAGAATTTATGTCTCTCTAAAAAATATTCCATTTGAAAAGGTGTTCTTATGAATTAGGAAAGATTGGGTTTTTTGTTTTCCTATCGTAGGTTAGTCTTTCTTTTCATTTAGTTCTTTCAATTTAAGGGAGGCAGTTTTAAAACTGATACATGTATATTATTTTCTGTAGAGTAAAACTGGTAATCTTCCCTTTAATAACAAACGGAATACTGAATAAGTTTGTAGAACAAAGCATGTTCAAACATTAAGAGCCAAAGTCTTCACTTTTTAGGTTAATTTACTTTATTCAGTGTTTGGTTTTGTTGTAAGATGGAACATTTTCAATAATGTCATCTTTATTTGCAGTGTGGACTCCAATTGCAGTGACTGTATTTCTAGTAGCTGTTGCAACACTGTGTAAAGAACAAGGAATAACAGTGGTGGGGATATGCTGTGTGTATGAAGTATTTATTGCTCAAGGGGTAAGCTGTTGAAAAATAAATTGCATTGCTTCTCAGGAGTTCTGTAATGAGACATTAAGTACTTTGAAGTGTCATATTTCACCACTGTTTTTTGTCAGTTCAGGCTACCTCTATAGTTATGTTACATTTTTCAGATTTTTTTTTTTTTTTGACTCAATTAATGTTTAACATACATGGTTCATGGTGAGGGAATTCAATGACAAAGTTGTCCTTTACATGCCATACAGAGATGTTACCAAATATACTCAATAAAGAATTGACGTGTCTTAATGGAAACCTAGGGTTTTAGTTGAGGTTTGCGAAGACTAGCATGTAACAGTCTTGATTAATGTCTGAGATGCATAAAGATGGGGGATTATTTGTTTTTAATTCCTTTCATAAAAATAGAAAACTTAATATATACAAATGTATTTAATCACATTCTAATGAATAACCAGATGTTTTGCAGTAGTCTGACTTGGATCAGTAATATTCTTAGGAAATTTGTTGTTCTAAGAATACCTTTAAATTTAATTTCTAATCTGATAGGTTTCATCTTAAGCATTGGTAAGTTAACAGTAACATTTGTTTAGTGTGACAGGATGCTCCTGCAATGAAATAATTTTTTGGCTTTTTAATAGTCAAACCATACACAATTTAAAAATGTGTGATTGCATATTCTAAGAAAAATTTGTAGTTTACTCTTCCTTAATTACTTGAGGGAATATTCTGCAACAACTGTATCTGTAAAAGCCAAAAGCTTGTCTGTCCTGGGTATACATATTCAAGGCAAAAATACCAAAATCGCAGGATTTTGTGCTTACAGAAATGTGTGTGTTTCTAACTATTGCCTTTGCAAGTTTTGTTAATAAGCACGTAATTTTCAAACGGGATTTCTAAGAAAATCACCAGTATGTGACCACACTTTTCGGTCCACTCTTCCTTTCTTTTAGAAACTTTTGATCTGATCCTCAATTTCATAAAGCTTAACAAGTTTGTGTAAGTCAACTGAGTAGAAAAAATAAAATCCAAACTGAAGCTTCTGGATGTAGCACGAACTAAGAGTTTGACCAGTTCTCAAAAACATCAATATCTGTAGTTCAGCCAACCAGTATATGTGAAGCAATA